GATCCTCGGTCCCACTTTATACCTGTGGACATCGAGGCTCTAATCCCTCATTGTGTCCGAGGACCGGCAACCCGAGGCCAAGGCCAAGACCAAGGACTTGACTCCCAAGGCCGAGGCCAAGGCCAAGGAATTGACTCTCAAGGCCAAGGCCAAGGACCAAGGACCGACCTTCGGTCCTCGAGCCGGTCCTCGAGGCCAAGGACCGGTTTGAGGAACACATCCCTGCAAATTTTACAAGAACACCACCCATTATTCTGTGAGAAATTCAAAGTAATGTGAATACATTACTAGAACACTTTCTTGACATAAACATTTTCTCCCAACTATGAGAGTTAACTAGAGTTGTTGAAATAAATACTGTAGAATCGTTACCGAGGCATACATCTAGCTAAACAGCAAGGCTGACATCACTTCCTTTGCCCTCTGATGTTGCCAAAGCAAAGAAGAGAGAAGTAGCTACTTCTTTTGTGAAGACAAAAAGTACTTTTACTGTTGAATTATAATTTCATTTCGAAAAAAAAATTCATTTGACCTCAAACAATGTACTACAGAGCGCGTTCAAATGGTGAGTTCGTAGTTCCCCAAAAATAATGCATTTTTAGATTGAATTGCAAAAAAAATTGATCACGAGAAACCAAAATGTTTGGGACAGGTCTATGCCTATATGTATGATAGGCCACCAAACCCAACAGCCCAGACATAAGGAAGATGGGTGATTGCTGTTGCATACTCAATAGGCAGTCCTCACCAGCAATTCCTTCAGCCTCCCCGACCATTTTACCTCTTGTCTTTTCAGCAATTTTAGAGGGGTGGCCAGTTCTTTTCAATTGACACCCATCTGATTGTGCGGAATCTCTCTGAAGACCGTGACTTGTGCCAATAGAAAAATGTGAGGGAAAAAAAATGCTAAAATCGGAACAATTTATTTGGTATTAGTAAGAGACATTTTAATTAGTTTAACACGAATTTGAATATTTCTAATAATATAGTAATATTTATAATAATTCTGAACACAGCCCAAAAAAGAGTGTGCAACCATAATGTGCTTTTTTTTTTCTTACGTATTCCCCAAATTCTCCAGATTGTGGTGAAAAAGTATTCTCTAAGTGATTTATGTTCTTTTTTACATCACCAAAACCTGGTATTTGTAAAATGTGAACACGTTTTTTTGCACTTACCGTATATCAATCTCTGACCGTGAACAATATAAAGTGTGTGGACTCCCTTAGATTGAGGAAATAAGTGTTGTTCTGGATGAAGCGAAAACATGTCATATTTTGAGGAATATATCGCTTTCTGGAGAACAAAATGATTTCGCAAATTGGACTAACCAATCCTACAGAAGTTACAATGACGACCTTAAAGCGATAGACATCAAGTGACACTGGACAGTGAAATGTTGTCAGCAAATAAATTGCACTAAACCTAAACCAGTCTGTCATGTCACAGTACAGTACTTATTAACTGACCTGATTCACACTGCATCATTTGACAGGTGAAGACGTGGACACAGTTTAGCACGCCAAAAGAACAACCCCCGTCGATAGCAATGTCCATTTTTGACAGAGATTGCCGGCAGTGCTTCAAAGAAATCTTCAAATATGTCAGTAACACTATTATTTGTATAATTAGACCGTAGTCCGAAAAACAATTAAACGTGTAAACACGAGGGCAACTTTCATTTCAAGAACTATAACAGCAATGACAGCTTCGTAATTGACATTAAATGTCTTGCGAGATCGTAGCCTAAATTATTTTGGCTTACCTGAGTTGAATTCCTTTTGATATTTGCCTCCACGCTTGTTTTTCAGATGAGCACGAAATCCTTGCGCAGCAATAAAACGCTCCCAAAATGGGAAAAAAAAGTCTAACCGTTGTTTCAAGTGTAAACCGTAAGCAGTAACGACAATGCACTGGCGTGCGTTTCCAAACACGAACAGTCAAGAGAATCCTCACGCGCCGTCCACTGTGGCCAAAAGGTGTTTTCCGTTTCCTCAATGAGGGAGGGAAAAAAATATGTCATTAATTAGTCATTGCGTCCACAGAGCTTTACCGAGACAAGCAAAGGCGCGTGTGCTGCTGTCGTCTCGGCTCTTGTGAATATGTGCAGAAGAGAAAAACAACACCAGCGTCGCAGTCGCATCCCTTCAAGTCAACTGCTGCTCTGAAGCGTTCGAGGACCGCTCGTAATTTGCCAAACTTGTCAGCTGTGAGTCCCAAAGAAACAAAGCTGACATGTTTTTGGTTTGTTGTTTCGATCATTTATTTACAAATTCCAAGTTCAAAGACATAGTTGAAAATAACATATGTTCATTAGTTCTGTCTCGCGTATTATTGATAGTTTAGGTCGGGTTTCGTACATTTTATAGTACGATAAATAGATTATTTATTTAAACCGGATCTGTTTTATTTTGTTCATATTATTTGTATTTCATTTATTTCCGCTAACAAGCGAAGGTATTCTTGCACTTTTTTTTCATTATGGGTACGATTGTAAGGATGTGGCCGACAAAAGCAGGGGAGGGAGCAAGACCCTCTCATCTGTTCTGCATTTCCTCCTCGATTCCGCAAGCAGCCACTGAATCTTATTTTCCAGCATTTCTTCCCTCAAGCGCTTTGTTCTGCGTTGAGCTGTGGAATGTGCGGCATGAAAAAAAACCTTCTGATCTTGGGTTCTCTTTCCGTTTACCACGAATACGCAGGTGATTGTGAATGCCATTTTTTTGCCACAATCAAATCACAAAGACTTGTCTTGAACAGAAAAAATACCATGTGGTCACACACTGACCTTGTGATACGTTCACAGATTTTGATGTACGTCAAGATCAACGATAAAGCATTCGAAAAGGCGCATTCAGAGACACAGTGTCAGGAGACATATTTCCAAGCACTATATTGACCCTTAATCTTATGTAATATCTATTTGTACATCGACTAATTACAAGATTTAAGATTAATTATCCTCCATGTAAATCGGTCGACAATTGTACATTCAAAAATATGTGGGGTATATTTCAACACTTTAGTAGATTAACGCAATCTGACTTTTCTGTACATTTTGATTTCAACTGAAAAAGTTGTGGCAGAAGCTCATTGATTACATTTTAATGAGCCAACGCTGACAAACGAAGTAAATTGACATGTCTGCTCCACCTGTTGGTTGCTTGGTGGTGATGCAGTGTACAGCATCTCGCGAAAATGAACTCCAAGTTTTCCATCGTCCCATTTTGAAATTGCCCCGCACTTCGTTCCCGTTGCCCGCAGTAGCGGACTTCCGAGCAGTGCACAAGTTGCACTTTCCAATGTCGCTAAGCAGAAAACATGGCAAAGTCTGATGAAAACAGCCGTCACACAACTTTTTTTTACCCTCGATTTTATCACAAATAACTCAAACTTAAAAAAAAATACAAATGACATCAAAAAGTACAGACAAAGTACATTTCTAGGTGCAGTCAAGTACATCAACAAACACGTCACAGGCTGCTGTGTAAGCTAATAAGGCACCGATGCCCTTCTGCAGCACAGCTATAGTTTGGTGAGGTGGCAGAGCAAACAAAAACAAGCTTGCTTTTTAAATTGTGTCAAACGTGAACACTGCAAACCTCAAATGGAATGTGTTAAGATATTTTTACAGACGCAATGATTGCAATATCAGACATTTAATGGAACGTGTGTATTGTGTCAATCTTATTTCATCCGTGGGATTTTTTTTCTCAATATAAGTATTTATCCAGGTGTAAATGATGTTTTCTGCCAACTAAGGCTCTCATAGTTATATATGTGTGCTTTTGTGCGCTTGACATTGGCCTATACAGTATATCACGACATCAATCCATTCATCCCTTATCTGAAAGATGTTATTAGAGTGGAGACTTTCAACTTGACTTTGAGGATTGTGGCAGAAGAGTTGCTGTCAGGAATTTATGGCATTTTTGAATGGAGTTACCGATACCACCCCTGGCAAAAATGAGGCAATCACCAGACTGAGAGGATTTTCATTCACTTGTTTAGATTGTTGGAAATGAAATGGGACAGAAAAGTGAAACAAAAGCTATTATTAACATCTGAATAGAAAAAAAAAATACAATGAACAAAGGAGAAATGATCGCGGATTGTGGATGACTAGATGGAAGTCACACATTGATGAATCACAAATCTGCATTGGGCAAGGTGATGGTGCTGAAACTTGTGTCTGGTGCCGTTGCCGTAAGATTTAAGAAGACGAGTGCCTGGAAAAAAAAAACATGCACATTTCCACAGCCATTGAGTCAGTTGACAGCATTTGGGAGATCACTGTCGTGACATCTTCACGTAATAAAAGTACGCGTTGACATTTGGGACACTTATGCCAACCATTGAAAGGACATTTCATGATAAATCATTTTTCAAGATGAAAATGCATCGACACATAGAGCAAAAACTCAGAAAACCTTCTTTGACGAATGACACAATAAGGCCAATGTGATGGCCTGCAAAGAATTGGCATCTCAATCCAATTAAAAATCTTTGTTGGAGTTGAAGAAAACGTCCATGACAAGGCTCCAACCTGGCATCTCAATCCAATTAAAAATCTTTGTTGGAGTTGAAGAAAACGGTCCATGACAAGGCTCCAACCTGCGGAGCTGATCTGGCAAAAGCAATCTGAGAAAGTTTCTCATTGAATCCACTTTTATCCTGCCTGGAAGAAATCAAGACCTGGATGTCACTAAATTTCTTGAATTTCAATGAAAAGTAGATAGAAGTGATTGTGTTTGGTCCCAGTGGCCCTTGTAGATCCCATCCTGTAGACCTGGGCCCCCTGGCTCCTTATCTTAAGCCAACAGTCTAAAACTTGGGTCTTAAAGTGGACAGTGATTTTAAATTGGACCGGCAAATTAGTGCCGTTGTTAAATCCAGCTTCTTTCATCTTAGGCAGCTAGCTAAAGTGAAGCCTCTCCTTCTCAACAGCACTTTGAAACAGTAATTCATTCCTTTGTCACATCTTGGTTGGATTCCCGTAGCGCACTTTAATTTGGAGTCGGCCAATCCTCCATTAAGCGTCTCCAGTTGGTCCAGAATGCTGCTGCACGCCTCTTGACTGGTACTTGTAAGAGGGAGCACAAAATTCTACTCTGGTATCCCTTCACTGGCTCCCAATACATTTTAGTGTTCTTCTTTTAAGTTCCTATTATTTTTTTTCAAATTAGTTCTGTGGACCAAACATTATTAGAGGTACCAAGAAATAAGCGGAAGCTCAGAGGGGATTGAGTCTTTTCCGTTGCTGCTCCCTCTCTTCGGAATGACCTCCCACTGAACGTTCAGCGAGCCCCCTCACTGCCCATCTTTAAAATTCGTCTCAAAACTCGCTTTTGTTGGTGATCCAGTGGTTCCAACGTCACAGTGCAAAGGTCGTGGGTTCAATCCCGGCTCCGGCCTTTCTGTGTGGAGTTTGCATGTTCTCCCCGGGCCTGCGTGGGTTTTCTCCGGGTACTCCGGTTTCCTCCCACATTCCAAAAACATGCATGGCAGGCTGATTGAACCCTCTAAATTGTCCCTAGGTGTGTGTGTGAGCGCGGATGGTTGTTCGTCTCTGTGTGCCCTGTGATTGGCAGGCAATCAGTCCGGAGTGCCCCCCCTCTTATTGCCCGAAGTCAGCTGGGATAGGGTCCAGCACCCCCCGCGACCCTTGTGAGGATAAAGCAGATCGGAAGATGGAAGGATGGATGTTTTTGTGCTTTTTACTGTCTTTGTTATGAATTTATTGTTTTATTGTTTGTTGTTGTATATATGATGTCTGCTCCATGTACAGCACTTTATAGATAGTGGTGGTTGTTTGAAAGTGCTCTATAAATACAGTTGAGAAAGTTGGGGCCAGATTGATGAGGAGGACTGTTGATCACTCATTAAGTCCATGCCAAGCTGTTAGAAAAGCCAACCAAGTGCGAGTGCTCTGTGCTGAAGTGTTCTGTTCTTGTTTTCATGACTCCATTGTTTTTTTCCTCAAAATTGAGTGATCCCATAATGTTTCCCTATGCTTGCTCTAAACAAGTAATTGTTCCTGGCTGCCACTCCGCCCCCAATCCCCTGATTTATTTTCATGTTTCTGAAAGCCAGCCATTTGAAATTATTTAAGTTTGATGTCATTTTTCTGCTCTGCTTCATTTCCACAAACTCAAACAACCGAATGAACATCTTCTGAGACGGTGATTCCATCATTTTTTGCCAGGGGTTGAATAAAGGACAAATGCGCTCTAAATTCATGTTCAGGAGGACCCCGCGTTTTTTTCAGTTTCCCATTCATTTTGAATGCAGAGTACAATTTAAGGTACCTTAATTTGGAACCAATGAATTCATGGAAACAAAAACAGCTGAAATGAGTTGAATTTAAGCTCAAGAGCATCAAATGTTCTGGAAGACCACAAAAGACAACTAGAGTGAAGTGGATGATGGCAAAATCGTTTCCTCAATGGAGGTGACAAAATTTCAGGAAAATCATGACCGACCCTCATGAATAAAAAAACTTAGAGAGCATTGAAGAAGAGGCAAGTTGTCCCAGAAAGATGGAAAAAAGAGAAGTTCTCTTGATGGAACCACATTTTTCATGAAGTCACCCAAGATATATAATCAATCATTACATGAATAAATTACAGCCAGTGACTGCTATTGGCTCTGTAAATTACATAAAGTTCCGTTCCACGTCTTTTTTTTTTTTTTTTTTTACACTGTGGTTTTTTTCGGAACGATCGATGCTAACCGTGCTTCCGTTCATAGAGAAAATCAACATGAAGCCTTCAAGACAAAGCCAGATGCCATCTCACTCTGGAGGGAATAACCTCAGAAAAATGCCAACTATTCTTCACAAAAACCAAACGAATAAATCAATGATGTCAATGTTATGACATCAATTCAGATGCAGGACTGCATAACAGTTTTGAAGAAGTGTCCAAATACATTTTCTTCCCCATAATAATTGGTACAAAAATAGAAAGAAAACATTTAGTTTGCATTCAGGACACCGCAAACAACTAAGAAGTGGGTTATTATTTTCCAAATAAGAATGATTACAAAAAAATATATGTAGGTATAGCATATTTCCTAACACACGCACACACCACTGTAAACACTGCGCGCACGCAAGCTTTTGTTACAAGCGCAGGAACGGTAAAGATTATTGTGTACTTTCTGTGTGTCTGTACATGACATGAGAAAGTGGCCTTTCCATAAGGTATTTTTATTCATCTGCAGTGATCCCTCGCGATATCGCGCTTCATTTATTGCAGTACATCGTGTTTATTTTTCTCTCTCTTCTGTTGTGTTTGCTATGTGCGCGACGGAGGGGAGGGGGATTTGGGCTTGTCAAACAGCTGCACGTCTCTCTTCGCCTCTTCCTCATCAATCCCGATTAATTGTCTTATCATAAACACATCGGCTGCGCGGGGATAGCTGGCTAGGAGCTAGCTGGAGGCTAACGGTGGCTACACCATCAGAACGTCAAGTGAGAGCCTTCTACGTCACCAACGTAAGTCTCTTCGCCTTTCTCAGAAGGCACCGCTGATGAACGTTAATTACTATTTTAAACATGCTGGTACCCACATACACTTAAACAAAATTTCCTGGGCGGGGGGGGGGGGGGGGGTGGTAGCAAACCCTCCTTTCCGGTTTTTCACTTATTGTGCCGGTTCTTGATCCCCATTAACGGGCGATAAGTGAGGGATCACTGTACAGTCAAACCTCGGTTTTCGAATGTCTCTGTTCTTGACCAAATTGGTTTTCGGCCAAAAATTTCGAGTTTTTAATGCCTCGGATTACGAACGAAAATCGGTTCGCGACCAAACTGAGCGCACTTGAATGCGCCACTTGACTCCTCTCGCCTTCCTTAACCGAGGAAGTGATGCTTCCTCGGGTAGACGAGGAAGTGACACTTCCTCGTGTAGTGTTCCATTGTGAACAGACGTGTTCAATAGAGATTTTTTTTTTTAAAAGAGCATGGTTTCGGTTATCGAACAAATCGGTTTTCGAACAGCCTTCTGGAACGGATTATGGTTGAAAACCGAGGTATGACTGTATTTATTTTTTTAAATTGTCCTCACAGTACAGAGTGTGGAGTGCTGTATAATGTGCCAGTAATCATGCAGCACCCTCGTTTATGATTTGGTTTCTTTTACAGAAAACTCCAAAAGGATGAGGCCATGAGGCAAGGAATTCTTTGTGAGCAGCAAAGCGGCCACATAGCACCAGAGTTGGCATCATTAAGAATGGAAGCTGTTCAAAAATGGCCTTCTTTCAGAAGAATATTCATTCAACACTTCATTGGTCTCATCGTGTCGATCATGGACGAAAACGTAGGTCCGGAATATCGCTTTAACGGCTATGACATGAATGCTAGATTCAACATGTCTGCGGGCCCTTTGTGTTTGCCGATAAATCCGCTGCATATGCCAGATACACAGATCCGCACACGAATAGGCGAATGTAATTCAGCCGCACGGCGATGACGTTCCGCCTCCTTCCAGCAAAATACAATTGATCTTTTGAATGTCTTTATGGGACTTGTCTCGCAAGTTGCTCCATCCTTTGCAATCATCATGGCAACACAAAGCTGCAGGTATTTTTGTCGCACAGTCCACAGCCGAGGGATCAGTGGCTCATTTGCATGAGACCGGACATCCGCCTCAAATCCTGTTTTCTGTGAGGCTCAAAAAAGAAGGTGCAGATTACGCTCAAATTATTTATCCATGGAGTATTTTGCTGAAATTCCAAAGACATCTAGGAAGCTTTTGGGTTTTTTTTTTGAATGCATCATATGTTAGCTGTAAAGTAATGACTTCAATACATTAACACGACATCCTGTCGGTGACACCAGATTGTTTTGTTTGTGTCATCGCTTTCACTGTTTGTTTTCTTACACAAATCTGGGATAAAACAAAGTTGACATGGGTTGGCAGTGTTGGCTTTAAATATCCCAAACTGAGATATTGTGAATTAACAAAAGAAAAGAAGTCGAACAATACAGTGGAACCTCGAAAGTTACTCTCCAAAATTCCGAAGTTTTGCTTGAATTTCCCTGCCAAAAATGTTCAGACATAAAAGACATCAGAATATCTGTCACTTTAGTGAGCGTCTTTAACTCATTCAATCCCAGCCATTTTCACTGGAGCAACGCCCTCAATCCCAGCGTTTTACTGGAATTTGACTGATCTTGCAAGGCCCACGGAATATTTGGTTCTAATGCTATATACACATGGAGCCTACCAAAATAAAGTTTGGACTCTCTTCTTTCAGCAGAAAAAAAACTTTTGTTTCTATCTTTTTCCATTCTTCAGCAATCGGCATTACAAAATGGCTAAGTTTCATGAAAATAGCGATTCCTGGGCAAAAAACAGAAAAAGAGCTTTTTGTAAAAGCATGCATTTCAAGCATGTGAGGGATCACTGCCACCTACTGGTCGCTTTTTTTACAATGCAAATGGCTTATTCTCATTCACAGATTGCATCAGACCCTCCTCCTCTCTATGATGCAAATAAAAGACTTGGACGTACAAGTAAGTCCTTGGTAGGCGGGGCCTAATTTTAAAAAGACGTACAAGTACGTCTTGTGGAATGAAAGAGTTAAGTATTAAGTGTGCTTTTCTTTTTCTTTGACTTTTGTGCTTATGCGCGTGTATTTGTTTGTGATGTCACCACAGAAAGGATACAGGTGGTGAGATGAAACACGTGATGGTCAAACTAAAAATGGTAGTAGAAACGGACGTTGGCATAGTTTCTTTTTCATTATTTTTAGCTATTTAGTGTTATTGAAATCCCACATTTTTGAGAATTTATTTAGATTCATTCAAATCTATGGAAGCATGGAGCAAAAATATTTGAGTGGCAAATACTATCTGCGAGTATGATCGAACGTACTCGCAAATACGTTCAAACCTAATTGTAGGCTAGATGCTACAAGCGTAGCATTTTTCCCATAATCCCACAAGGGTTTGACTATTGATTGGGTATGCGCAAGTCAGTATCTCGTGGCATTATGGAAAAACAATGCCGAACGTAGATCATTCACCATAAAATTACTAATAGACGATGTTTACTTGATTCATTTTCAAATGCGTTGGTTGAATGTAGGCAAAATGCAATACTAATAGACGATGTTTACTTGATTCATTTTCAAACGCTTGTTGGTTTAATGTAGGCAAAAAGGAAAAAGACAAATTGCATTTGAAATTTTTTTTTTTTTTTTACTTGCCAAAATCCATGATGTGAGCTTTTTTTTTTTTTTTTACTTGCCAAAATCCGTGATGTGAGCATCAATACCCATGGCATAATGGGGAAAAATGCTTGTAGCATCTAGCCTACAATTACATTTGAACATATTTGCGAGAACGTTTGAAAATACGTTTGCACATTTTGGTTAGAGCAAACTGCGAGCTTTAGCAATGAATGTTACTTCTTGTTTTTGTACTTCTTGTTGTGTTATAATCGTTGTTCGTGTTAACTTACGTCTTGTGCCTAATTTTGTTGCACAGTAAATTCATTTGGTCTTCCATTTCATGACGCCCCTGATCATTATCTTTCCTGCAAAAGTTGCTGGGGATGCTACTTGCTAATTTTGATACAGTACATCGATCTTTTAAGTATGACATGATAGAAGGCGATACAGTCTGCATATGTCTGCGCAGCTCAGACACGACGAAAAATGCGCTGTCCCTCGCTGCCCAAGTTGTGCACTGGCATAGCTGTTCGCCAAGCATCGCTCGCCTCGTTTAGTCCAATCGTCGCCAGATACGTCGGAAAAGATTCATACCAGCGAGATCGAGGGACTGGTGGTTCACCAGGAAGTGCGAGGAACGAGGAGAGGGGAGAAAAAGTGAAAATCCATCCTCGTCGTTAGAATGTTGTGTCTGAGAATGTGAGTACGACAATATGTTTTGCTAACGGTCTTTATTCCAACTGCCGGAACAAGTGTCCGCATTCGCTATAACTGCTACTTTGTGACACTGTCGTAACATTGTGAAGTCGTATGGTATATGACTATATGCTACAAAATGTAATGCATCCTTTATGATAACTTGACGTCATTCCAGCAGAAGGCAAGTATATTTTAAAGCGTTTGATGCGATCAAATTTATTGCTATGCCGAAGTTGGCGCGCTGTCGTACCCTAAATGCGAAAATGGTGCGTCCAATAGATCTACTCTTTCTTAAGTGTTTGAAACACGTTGAATCTACTAATGCTGAATATATCGATCTGTCATTGTTTATTCACAACATTTCATGTATTAGATATTTGACATAACTCTCATTCTTAATTGTTTCATTTACATTTGGCTGGCAATATATATTTAAGTCATTTAAATGGATGGAAATCTTATGTGCAATTGAAATACATAAACCTTTTAAATTAGCCCTAAAAAATCGGAGTGTGTATGACGTGTCCTCCACATCTTAGAATGTAACATAAAACAATGCTCGGGAAAATTCAACCTTGGAGGTTCCACTGTAATTTTTGAATCATGTAAATCAAGGGTGCCCAACCAGTTGATCATGATCGACCGGTAACCGGGGGACCGGTTTGCAGGGGGAAATGTGGGGGGAGGGGGCACACGTGTGTCTGTGTGCGTGTTATTCATATTACTGTATATATTTTTGCGTTAGCGTACACTGCATCCAATTGGTTTCACTTTCACAAAAAAGTATTTAAAAAATAAAATAAAAAAGCAGGTCACCTTTAACCTACAGTGACCTACATCAGCGGAAGCTGTCAGCAGTCTGCAATTGCAGCTTGTGATCACAGCTGTCCCAATGTATCGTTTGTTTTTATTCTTCTCCTTCAAAGTTTGTTTCATCTGCAATTCACAGATGGCACTGGCAAAGAATGAGAATCTAGAGCCCCAGGAGCAGCATTTTAAAACGGTACACGTGAGCAACGATCATGAACACAGTGACCTACGATAGTTTCTGCACTTCACACGCTGTGTGTCCGATGCCTCCGTGTCAGGTCTCTACTGAGGTAGGCAGTGATCTCCTTTTCACAAACTCCCAAACTATTGTATCTACTTAATTTTTCTGTTTCGTTCACTTTAGGGGCCAATACGGCTCTTGGTCATCATGGCATTAGCGCGTGCGTGCATACGTGCCCATGGGTGGGAGTGTGCTTGTTAGTGTGTATAGGCATTCATGTGCGGTAACAGGTCCACTTTGGGAGGTTGGTTTCTTGAAATGTAGATCTTCGGTCAAAAAAGGTTGGGCACCCCTGATGTAAAGGCTTTGCACATTTTCTCAGAGCACAGGATATTTGCGTCTTTCTAGCTTGCAATTAATTTGATTAGAATTCAAAAGTGAGTAGTGGTTGATTCAGCTTGAGTTGAGTCCCATTTGCTCCCATCTGTTTTGACCCTGCTCAATTGACCAGTGCGGAAGGTTTGTGGTCATATTCCTGTGTACGTTTATAGTACAGCTAGGACTCTAACAGAATGTGCCAGCGGCAAACCTGCTGTCCTCTGGACTCTTTCATCAGAGTCCAGTGGGTGAGCTCTTCCTCCCCAGAGCTGTTGAGCCCCAGAGAGATCCAGCCAATCATCTCCTTGCGTTTCATACTGCGTTTGTTGTAGACGGAGAGAATGAGTGTTACATCCGATAGCTGGAAAAGGGCAACCTGGAAGACAAATGTCTCTTTGTAGGTTGGGTTGGGTTGGCCTCGACAGATAGATGTTTTACACTTGGACATCTCGTGGCCCATGGAATTCAGTAAGGTCAGCTTAACGTACGTGTCTGAACAAAGAGCAAAGAAATACAGAAATGGACCATTAGAGGCACATATCGTTTGTCGACATATACACAAACAAACATTAAATGATGCAGCAATTCATCTAACTAAAGGAATCGGTCATTTGTGCAAAATCATTATGTCTCTCAATTGCCTGAATGAAATCCTCTGCATGAAAAATAAGACACATTATTCCCACAAATCATTTGCGCCCACTAATGCCGCAGCAGTTGGTGTCTGAGATCACAAGTGTATAGGCTGTTTTCCTCCTGCTTGAAAACGAAGTGTTCCTCATAAGACAAGCGCTCAAAGGGCACAAGAAGCCTTTTTTCGGTCTTGTTGCTATGCAACTGTCTAACCTGAACATACTTTTAATGATAAAATGGACTAAAAAAAAATCTACCAATGTATCTTCCTGGAGGTAGAGGATAAGAATCTTCTACTGCTAAAACAGATGATTATTGATAAAAAGATGATAATAGTGGCAACAGTCCTATGAGAATAAACTGCTCTTTTTCACTTTTTTTTTAATGCTTGATTGAACTGTTTGGCCATAATTCTAAAAAGTATGTTTGGAGCACACAACACTGCTTACAACCAGACCAACAGGGATGCGTGGTGGTGGCAGCATCATGCTTGGGTTTGTTTTTTTCTTTTGGTTGAACTCGGTCTTTAGACAAGACAAAACAGCAGTCAGTGTTAGCACAGGACTGTAAGAAAGAAAAAAAATATCGAGAAAAGCTTACTCAACTTTATTTGGGGTTAATGAGAGGCACTTTAAATACTGTCAGATGTGTGCTGATTCCCATATAACATGAATGTGAATGTTAATAATTGATTCTGAAGACAGCCACACTTATTCGAGGGTGTGCACCATTATGCAACCACATTACTTATTAATTTAATGAATAATTATGTTTTTCTCAATTTAATTTTACAGGTTACGACATGAATGGGGCAGCCATGGCCAAGTGGTTAAGATCGTCATCGCCTGCCACTGTGGGGCCCCGGTTCAGGAACACCCAACCCGCAACATCCTATGGATGCACTGCTGTGGTGCCCTTCGGCAAGACAGCAATAACCTGAACTGCTGCCTGGGTGCTTATGTAATCCCCTGTTTGCCTTTGTCCACTCATGTGACCAATCGAATGCAGAGGCAAAATTTGGTGTATGATGACAAAGACCGATGAGTCTTCTTCTAATGGTGATGATTTATCTTGGATCTAATTTTTTTGTATCACAAAAACCTGGCAATTGAACAGGGGTGTGACTACTTCTTCTCTCCATTGTATAATGAAGCCACACATTTGAATGAAAGCAAACAAGGCAGGAATGAAAGTAAACGAGATAATGACAATGGTTCAGACAGTGTTTTGCCCCTCATCTAAGACATCACAATAAAGCTGTGTGTTGCAGTCCTTGTCTAGGAGGGAGTCAACGGAATTAATAGCTCAGGCTTTCACACCGTCGAGTGCCAGCTGCCTTTCAATAACTCGGCTCACGGCCTTGAAAGATACATTCAGTCGCTCTCTTTGGCATAAAAGCACTGGGGGGGAAAAAAATTGCCTTGATTTCTTTTTTGACGGCTGCTGAATGGGCTCTGAAGAGCTGTGGATGTCTGAAGTGGTCAGTCACGGCGATGCAAGGCACTTTAGTATTGTTGCTGAATGAAGGGGCTGCAACTGATGATTTACTTGACATGCAGGCTTGCTACTGTTTTGAAATTTGAAACACCAAGCTGCTTTCCCTTTTGAAAGACACAAAAAGTCAATCAAGTTATACATGAAGATTTTGCACAAAGATATTTGATCTGTATCGTCGGATGTGACTATTTCCTAGATTTAAAAATATGACGACACAGTCTTGTAAAGATGCTATTCAGGAATAGTGTACAACCAGTATAATGCCAATGCTTCTCATTTGTTACATTCAGTAAACCCTATTAATTTATGATTGCTGAATAGTATGAAAACCATCAATCTTAATGCTCTACAAAAACACGACACTCCTGTTTTAGGTTTTGTGTGCTCTATCCACAACTGAAAAAGAATATATTTAGAGCCAAGCCATGCCAAAGTACACAGTTAAGCCAATCATTAAGTAAACTGGATTGAACCAGAAAGAAATGTGTTAACAGTCATGGATTGCAGGCATGATGAGAAAACATAGGCGTGAGGGAAGTGGCTACATGCTCGGAAGCTTTCAGGTTGAAAATGAGCACTCGTCTTCATGGATGAGTGGACAAAAATCGAATTCAATAATTCAAGCTTTTAAAATGAGGCCCGATTCAACACTTGTCAACGAATCCATTAGTTGCTTGATTATCTACATCCATGAAGGCGTATTGAAAACATTGAAACGTGTGTAATTTGAAGCAGGGATAAACACTCACCTCTGATAATATAAACCTGTCCACCTATCAAGTGTTTAAGACAACAGAACAGCCCATCTGACAACAAGGGTTGGGCAGCAGTAAGAAAAACAGCGAACGAAAGTGTCAAATAGGTGGTAAAGGATGACAAACTTTTAGGCATAGGCAAAAGATGCAAGGGAAGAAAAACAGTAAAAAAAATACAGAACATGACACCAAGTACAGGGGTACCTCCTACTTACGAATGTCTCTTCATACAAAATGTTCAAGTTACGACCCGTCTCAACAGGAAAACATTGCCTCTTGTTACGAAAAAAATTTCAAGATACAAAAGGCAAAAATACTCGCAGCTCAGTTTCCTGAACACAGCACAGTTAAAGCTGCTCTGCCATTGGCTATTACCGAGCATCATCCTGGCATCCCATTGGCTAAGAGGGACCTCTTACCGTATATCTTTGTGTGTAGATAGATATGTTTCTATGCAGCGTGCTCGTCATTCGCCCCTCGGGCCATGAAGCGTTCCGATAGTTTTACATAAATGTGAATCACCCAGAAAAAGTGTTCTATACTGATTTTTGCCTTGGACATTTTTGAAGGATTGTTAAAAGCCGACAAAAGCAAACATCCTTGGATTAGTTCTTCACAAAATGCCAGGCAAAAACCACTTCTGAGAGAGAGCATGAACTAAAGAGGGGAAAAAAGCAATGAGGGCGCAGTTAAAAGTTAAATAACCATGGTTTTTATTCTTTATTCATTGTTTTTTACATTATGCACAACTATCATTGTGCAACAATCTAATTGTAACATGTATTTGCTACATATTTTGATGCATTTTTATGCTTTATAAAACATGTATGTCTGAATTTTGGGGGCGCTTGGAACGGATTAGGACATTTACATGGAAAATGTGTCTCTACTTACAAATTTTATAGTTAAGAAATTTCTTCCTGAACCAATAAATTTTGTACGTAGAGGTACCACTGTACCTAAGAGGGTATAATGAAGCCACACATTTGAATGAAAGCAAACAAGGCAGGAATGAAAGTAAACAAGATAATGACAATGGTTCAGACAGTGTTTTGCCCCTCATCTAAGACATCACAATAAAGCTGTGTGTTGCAGTCCTTGTCTAGGAGGGAGTCAACGGAATTAATAGCTCAGGCTTTCACACCGTCGAGTGCCAGCTGCCTTTCAATAACTCGGCTCACGGCCTTGAAAGATACATTCAGTCGCTCTCTTTGGCATAAAAGCACTGTGGGGGAAAAAAATTGCCTTGATTTCTTTTTTGACGGCTGCTGAATGGGCTCTGAAGAGCTGTGGATGTCTGAAGTGGTCAGTCACGGCGATGCAAGGCACTTTAGTATTGTTGCTGAATGAAGGGGCTGCAACTGATGATTTACTTGACATGCAGGCTTGCTACTGTTTTGAAATTTGAAACACCAAGCTGCTTTCCCTTTTGAAAGACACAAAAAGTCAATCAAGTTATACATGAAGATTTTGCACAAAGATATTTGATCTGTATCGTCGGATGTGACTATTTCCTAGATTTAAAAATATGACGACACAGTCTTGTAAAGATGCTATTCAGGAATAGTGTACAACCAGTATAATGCCAATGCTTCTCATTTGTTACATTCAGTAAACCCTATTAATTTATGATTGCTGAATAGTATGAAAACCATCAATCTTAATGCTCTACAAAAACACGACACTCCTGTTTTAGGTTTTGTGTGCTCTATCCACAACTGAAAAAGAATATATTTAGAGCCAAGCCATGCCAAAGTACACAGTTAAGCCAATCATTAAGTAAACTGGATTGAACCAGAAAGAAATGTGTTAACAGTCATGGATTGCAGGCATGATGAGAAAACATAGGCGTGAGGGAAGTGGCTACATGCTCGGAAGCTTTCAGGTTGAAAATGAGCACTCGTCTTCATGGATGAGTGGACAAAAATCGAATTCAATAATTCAAGCTTTTAAAATGAGGCCCGATTCAACACTTGTCAACGAATCCATTAGTTGCTTGATTATCTACATCCATGAAGGCGTATTGAAAACATTGAAACGTGTGTAATTTGAAGCAGGGATAAACACTCACCTCTGATAATATAAACCTGTCCACCTATCAAGTGTTTAAGACAACAGAACAGCCCATCTGACAACAAGGGTTGGGCAGCAGTAAGAAAAACAGCGAACGAAAGTGTCAAATAGGTGGTAAAGGATGACAAACTTTTAGGCATAGGCAAAAGATGCAAGGGAAGAAAAACAGTAAAAAAAAAATACAGAACATGACACCAAGTACAGGGGTACCTCCTACTTACGAATGTCTCTTCATACAAAATGTTCAAGTTACGACCCGTCTCAACAGGAAAACATTGCCTCTTGTTACGAAAAAAATTTCAAGATACAAAAGGCAAAAATACTCGCAGCTCAGTTTCCTGAACACAGCACAGTTAAAGCTGCTCTGCCATTGGCTATTACCGAGCATCATCCTGGCATCCCATTGGCTAAGAGGGACCTCTTACCGTATATCTTTGTGTGTAGATAGATATGTTTCTATGCAGCGTGCTCGTCATTCGCCCCTCGGGCCATGAAGCGTTCCGATAGTTTTACATAAATGTGAATCACCCAGAAAAAGTGTTCTATACTGATTTTTGCCTTGGACATTTTTGAAGGATTGTTAAAAGCCGACAAAAGCAAACATCCTTGGATTAGTTCTTCACAAAATGCCAGGCAAAAACCACTTCTGAGAGAGAGCATGAACTAAAGAGGGGAAAAAAGCAATGAGGGCGCAGTTAAAAGTTAAATAACCATGGTTTTTATTCTTTATTCATTGTTTTTTACATTATGCACAACTATCATTGTGCAACAATCTAATTGTAACATGTATTTGCTACATATTTTGATGCATTTTTATGCTTTATAAAACATGTATGTCTGAATTTTGGGGGCGCTTGGAACGGATTAGGACATTTACATGGAAAATGTGTCTCTACTTACAAATTTTATAGTTAAGAAATTTCTTCCTGAACCAATAAATTTTGTACGTAGAGGTACCACTGTACCTAAGAGGACCTTTCAGACCGAACATGCTGCTTAGATGCCTCAAAACCAACTGTGGAGACCAGCAAGAAAATGATCCAAAACAAGGGATCAAACCAAATATCTTAATAGAATCAGATTTTAGCTCAAATAAATATGTTGCTAAGACGTCTATGCATCCATCCACAATCCTATGCTGGGACGGCCAGCACGAGCAGGGAGGTCCAGACTTCTCTGTCTGGCCACATTCATCAGCAACACTGGTTTGACACAGGTCTGGTCAGAGGCGTCCTCCCAGTTGGACATGCCTGGATTACTTCCCCAAGGAGGGAACCTGTACCACCCCCTCAGAGGGCACACTGGTCACTGTGAAAGGAGCAGCACATCCTAATCGCTTACAGTTTGTCCAGACACCTTATAAAGGAAACAAATGGAGCTGCTTGTATTTGTGATCTTGTCCTTTTGGTCAAGACCCAAAGTTTGTAACCATATGCGAGGGTAAGAACAGAATCACTCGAGAGCTATCACATCACCGCAACAGTCCAAAACAGCAATCACTATGGCACAGCATACAGTATTTCCATCTGTTAACCTCACATTGCATTCAACCCTCACTTGACGGACACCGTTCGATCAAGTATTAAGAACCCCACTTTGCATTTGGCCAATGCCCAGCAACAAAGCCCAATGGATTTTCCATATTCATAAAGTACGTGTGGACTGGTTGGGCAAATCCGATGCACCTTTCAGTATCCACCTGAGTATATGGAGATGGCTCAGTGTTCCATACCGGGATAAAAACCACATTGCACCTCATGGATATGATGGTCAACTAACAGCCAGACTGTACAGCGAGAACATAACACAGCTGGCGTTGAGAAAAAGGAGAGATGTACACTTGTGTATTTACACATACAGTATGTGTTTAAATAACAAGAACTTGGATCGTAGTAAACTTTCTTTCATTCATCCATCCATCCATCCATCCACTTCTTCCACTAATCCAGGGTTGGGTCACAGGTACGGTAACCTTAGCATAGAAGGCCAGACTTCACTTTCCTCAGCCATTCCATCCAGCTCTTTCAGAGGGATGCCAAGACATACCCAAGCCAGCTGAGAAACAGAGGCATTCTAAGCAGATTCAAGAGCTCCCTCATTTGGCTCCTCTCGTTGTGGAGGAGCAGGACATGTACTCTTGAGTCCCACCCCGTTGACCAAGCTTCTCATCCTATCTCTAAGGGCCTCTTTATACTCATTTTCCTGCACCATTCTTCCCTCATTTGTGAATGAGACCCCAAAAACCTGAACCCCACCTTTTGGGGTAGAATCACATCATTCAACCCGGAGAAGGCAGTCCATCCTTTTCCAACTGAGGACCATGGTGTCAGATTTGGAGGTGTGATTTTCATCCCAACTGCTTCACTCTTTGGCTGGGAACCGCTCCAACTAGAGTTGAAGGTCACATTATGACAAAGCCAACAGAACAACATCTACAAAATTGAGAAACAGAATATTGAGGTCAATAAATTGGAACCCCTTCATGTCTCAGTTGCGCTTAGAAATACTGTCTATAAAGATACTGAACAGAATCAGAGACAACAGATGGTCTTGTGGCGTCCAACCCTCACTTGAAATTAATCTCTTACTCACGGCAATAAGGCCCAAACTCTTGACCCCGATCGTACAAGTATCGAAGATCCCCCAGCGCACCCTCCACAGGACTCCCTGAGGGATACGGTTGAACACATTCTCCAAATACACAAAGCACATTAGTTGACAAATTAGGCGATCTCCCATGCAGCCGCCAGAATCCTGTCAAGGGCGTAGGGCAAGCTATTCCACAGCCAGGACGAAAACCACACCGTTGTTCCTGAAACTAAACTTCAATTTCCCTTATGAACGATGGAGAGGTCCAGCATACCTGAATAGACCTTATCAGGGAGGTTGAGGAGTCCCACTAAAAAGGGGGACCACCACCCTGGTCCTCTCATCCAGAGACACTGTCCACGTAATGTTGCAAAGGCCTGATAACCATCACGGCCCCACAACATCCAGACTGTTCAGAATATCCAGGTGAATCCACAACTGGAGACCACACAACAATATGAGG